TGACCACTCATTTGGTTTTCCTGTAGACATGGGGGCAGCTTGGTGAGCTTCTTTCTGTTGTTTGTTTTGAAAATTTTACTGGCCTCGTGAATTATTTAATGACAATAATTATTTACTCCACTCATCAGGTTGCATGGCGTCTGCAAAGAAAATCCATTGGCAACTTGGATAGGAAGACTTGGTTTACCAATTTATCAAACTTCTGGTGATAATTCTGTTTTGTTTGATCATGACCTGGAGAGGTGATGCTCATCTAGATGACTTTTTAATCCCCAAATTTTATAATCAACTCCAGTTTAATTCGATAGCAAATACTTACCAAGCACTAAGATTATCAATTAAAATGGAGGAGAGTGAATCTAAGGGTTTTACTGTAGGCAGGTCAGATAGGATCGCTGGAACTTCATATTTCGTGCAGCCACTGATGACTTTTGCTCTCTCTCTCTTTCTCTCTCTACCTTGCAGCTACGCACTTTTTGATGCTGATGGACGACAAGTCCCTCAAGAACTAGTCCAAAAAGTTGGTGAGGTGTTTGAAAGTATTTTAAAAGAGGCAAGTTATTTTGCTTGTACCTGTTCCTTCTCATAACTAGAAAGTCAATTGTGCTGGTGATCTCTAAGATTGTAAAAGTTTTTCCAGGCCAATAAAGTTAGGCATGAAACCACCGAAGACATGTCTGTAGCACAGGCTATTGCACTTGTTCTGGAGAGAGATCCAGATCTAAGGTTTGGTGAAACTAGTATTAGTTGTCTCATTTCATTTTCTATGTTTTATTCGAACTTCATTTTTTTTAATCTGAAATTTCTTCTTTTTTTTTCAGGCAAGAAGGACTTGCAAACAATGTGCTGCAGTGGTACCTGTGCCGAATGGAAGGTTGGTTTGCTACAGATGCTGACAACATCTCATTAAAGAACTGGGATCAGGTGAAGAAATTGTTCTGTGATGTTGCAGTATGATTTTACTTTTCAATATAGTTCTAGTGCAAACTTTTTGAATTTGCAATAGCTAGTTTAAAGACGAATATGTTTTTTCACATAAACTTCAATCTCAAAGTGACAGTTTTTAATACTCACGGTGAGCTTGTTTTTGTCATTTCATATTTGATGGATTCTCCATGCTTTGCAACATGTAGGAAGTTCTGCTTCCTGGTGGCCATGGTCTTATGGTTCGTGGTTACCGTCCTATCATTAATACACTAGCGAAAGGCCTTGATATTCGTCTCTCTCATCGGTATGTCCTTGGAACATATTGTGCAACTGCTTTAGGTCTACTGTGAAATTGCTTTCACACATTCATTTAGTTATGTTTATATTTTTGTGTAATTGCATCTCCGGCAGTGGTTATATTTATCTAGTTTAATGGCAAAATGAAGTTTTCCAATTACTTTTCTCTTAAAAATTTTTCTCACCTAAATCTTGCTCCAGAGTCACAAAAATAGTGAGGGGTAAAAAGGGAGTAGAAGTCACTGTCAACAATGATAAGTCATTTTTTGCTGATGCTGCTATCATAACTGTACCTCTGGGGGTTCTCAAGGCCAAATCCATCAAATTCGAACCAAGACTTCCTGAATGGAAAGAAGCAGCTATAGATGGCATTGGTGTTGGGGTAGAGAACAAAATTGTTTTGCACTTTGACAAGGTTTTCTGGCCAAATGTGGAGTTTCTTGGAGTAGTCTCATCCACTTCATATGGTTGCAGCTATTTCCTTAATCTTCACAAAGCAACCGGCCATCCTGTTCTTGTTTACATGCCTGCAGGTCGCCTCGCCCAAGATATCGAGAAAATGTCTGATGAATCTGCTGCTAAGTTTGCCTTTAGTCAGCTAAAAGTGATCCTTCCAGATGTCACTGAACCGGTATTTTTTTTCTTTTTTTTTAAAGTACCATATCATCTCTTCCAATACTTCAATATATAAAGTTTGATGTTTTCTTAAAGAATCTCTCATCGATTGTTGAACATTTTGGTTAAGCAATTATGCAGCTAGTGATTTTTTTTTTTAGTTCATGCATTTGTTACTTTGTATATTGGGTTATCAACTATTCATGATGATCTAGCACTTTATGGCTTGCTCAGTAGGTGCCTTTAACTTGGATTCTATCCATATTCCAGTAGAGGTACCATAATTTGGAACAAAGATTTTCTAAAAAATCTAATCTGTATCCTTCGGAGAATGCATGTCTACTGATTGTTTTTCTTCTCCATCACTTCAGATACAGTATCTCGTGTCACGATGGGGGAGAGATGAAAATTCACTCGGCTCATACAGCTATGATGCGGTTGGGAAACCTCGCGATCTTTTTGAGAGACTGCGCATCCCTGTGGACAATCTCTTCTTTGCTGGGGAAGCCACCAGCATCAAGTATACAGGGACCGTGCATGGTGCCTTTTCCACTGGGTTGATGGCAGCCGAGGAGTGTCGGATGCGTGTCCTAGAAAAATATGGTGACCTGGAAAACCTGGAGATGTTTCACCCATCTATGGATGAAGAAGCTGCATCGATCTCAGTCCCATTACTGATATCCCGTATGTAATTCCATGAATACAGACTCCTAGTGATAACACAGGTAGTTCCCTAACCATTTCCATTGATTGCCTGAAAAATGACATTGGAAAAATTGTTGTTTTCCCATGTATTTTTCAAGCATGTGGCATGTGTTATGTGCTACAATGTGGTATTAGTGGTTTTCGAACAATGTTCCGATGGTGAGGGTTCATATAGGAACGGAACCCATGGTAGTTTGCCTTGCTAGAAAACTTGGCAGTGTGGATGCTATAATAAAAAGAAGCAATATTTAGTATTTGGATGGTTAGTCTTTTTTGTGAGTATTCATGAATCTCCTCCTGGTTTCTTCTGTTGATTAGAGAATGTTGGTTTCATGGTTCAAACTTGGGAGCATAAACCTTCTTTTGAGCAAGGTAACCTTGATATTGGTACACATGATGATCTTGGGTTATTTCTGCATGCTTGGAGCTGAGAAGAGACCAAACTCATAATAGCACTATATTTAGTCCAATATTGTTTTGTTGGAGAGTTGGAGAGCGATCGAAAGCTATAGTTACCGAGGTCTCGAGATGGGAGGGACATTGCATTATAGAAAATTATGGAAGAGACAAGCTGATTTCCCCTTCATTTTTGTTGTTTTGGTGCACTCTGATCGATCCTGGGATCGATGTATGTATAGTTTTCTCTTTTGTTCGGGAAGACGAATGTTACTGTCATTATGGCTGTCACAAATACAGATTGCATCTTCGAGCTCTAAGATTCAAACAACTCCCGATTAGCAAAGCTTTGTCAACCCTTCCATAACATTTCATCTCCATTACTTCTTATCATTAGCTTACAGACGCAATCGTAAGAACTCGTTGCGGATATCTAACACCACGCATTGCAAGCCAGACAGCAGAGCTAAAAGACCACATTCCCAACCATGAACATGCCTTTCAAGTTTTGTTTAATGCACATGTGGATGTCCGGTCTCTGTGCTTTCCGTCTGATTCGGGTAACAGGCGTTGCCTTTCATTTCGAGCAACATGAGATAGATGTTCATGCATCTTTTTAATTTTTATTTTGTAGATAGTTACTGTTATTCGTCTTCCTACGAGTAAAATGGAAGTATGAAATTTGTTTTTGCAGACTTCTTCATCGCAAAAGATCATAGATTTCTATCATCTTCTCTTGATGTAATTGTCATGTGCTTTTCTTCGAGAGACGGATGCATGTGAAAGGTGAGCTACATTAGCCAAAAAAATTGTTTTATATGCAATGCATATATTATTTAGCCAAATGAGATAACAAAATTGGATTTGTTATGCTCATGTTGTTTTGTGAGAGTGACAGTGGGAGAAGAAGAAGGGAGAGAACAGCTGCTGGCTACACTAAAACCCAGTTTTGTGGTCTAGATTGCTACCCACATTGAAGATTTGGATAAGCCGATACTATAATTCTGTAGGTTTCAAAGGAAAAGCGACAGCAGAGGAACGCAAATCTCCACGAGATTCGTTGCCAAAGGGAAGAACACGAATTAGATCGCATGAATCAATCCATGCCGTTGTCTCTCATTTAAAGCCGAAAAGGCAAATCCGTCGACAACCCGACGCTAAACAGTCTCTCATCTTTCTGCGTTCCAAATCGTCCACTCAAACTCCATCCGATGAAATCACACCCAAGTTTCCCTTTCATCGCAGGGCTCTATAAATTTCTCCTCCGAGCATTGAGGAGACCATCTCCACCACCTCGTCCGAGCCTGAGCGAGTAGGAGTGGCTGTGGAGACATGACGGGCAAAGCACAGGCGCTCGGCCGCTACGTGATGGAGGCCGCACCGCCGCAGGTGGTGTCCCCCGTGAGGTACAGGGTGGCGAAGATCCTCGACACGATTGCAGAGGAAGAGAGAGAGACCGACGAGGCGTCGTCGTCCTCGTCTACGAGCTCCGCTTCTTGGCCAGTTCATCACCACCGTCGCAACCCTCGCACCGAGATGAAACCAGCTTGCGGTCCTTGATATCTCGGTTGCCCGTGTACTCTGTGATTTCCTATTCGCTGATACGAGAAAGCGTAGGAGTCGAATCTATTAAAGAATATAAGAGAAGCAAGTAATTGGATTCTCCATTGCTACTTCTTTCGATGCGAACATAACCGATGCATCCGTAGTTACGAGAGATGGGAAGAGACTTAACAGGAGAGGATAAGGCTAAACAGATGATGCCTTGGAATCTCCATGGCTCTCAAACGAAATCTATCAGAGAGTCAGGGGACTCGATGACGATCCATTACGGTTAGCTGAAACGATCAAATGCAGCACCATGAAGAGATCCATCTATATATCGTGACATCCGATTGGTGTTCCAATCTGTTCCCTGCATGCCTCCGGCAACATCTACTGTCTGTGATTTCTTGAGCCAAAGCTCCAAATTCTGTCTTCTTGAAAAAGGTTATTTTGGTGGTGAAGAGTAGACTATGTATTGATCACATAAGACATCAAAACACGCAAAAAGGCTTTATTATTTCTTGCTCGATCATGGTGACATTCATAACATGAAGAAGAGGCTATTCATCGCGCGTGTCAGCAAGAAAGCTGCGTCTTTTCTTCCTACATATATCCCTACTGATAATATAGTCTCGTATTCTCAGGCAGCTGCACAATGCCAGAGATCGATGCCACTGCCCTTTATTGCCACCCAAAGCTTTCCTCCTAGTTTGGAATCCTGCATGAACACAAACACGCAGTCACAATCAACTTGGCCAAGGAAGAAGACGAAGACGAAGACGAAGAGTCCTCACTTGGAGCAGTCAAACTCCAAGCTGATGGGGAAGGGAAGCGGCGTGGCACACAGCCTCGGCAGGTCGCTGACCGCGTCGTCTTTCAGGTTGGGGAAGTGCGCCGCCGCATGCTTCACGCAGTTGCATGCGAACTGGCGCTCGGCGGGGGTGATGCCCATGTTCTCGAGCCTCCGAACACCGTCGCAACACGCGGGCGTCGGCGCCGGCTGCTGCCCCGTCAGGTACGTGAGGCACGGAGTCAGGCACGCCTCGACTTGGATGCAAGTGAAAGCACGGGTTGGCTCGACCACCACGAGTGCAAATGCGAGGACGAGGAGGATGCCTGCAGGTGCTACCTTCATCGTTGCGTACTGCTTCTGAGCTCGGAGAGGCTTCGAGTGTGTCAGCGAGTTGATGCGGAGGTGGGTATTTATGGTGAGACGGAGGAGAGCGATGAGCACGCAAGAGGTGATGGCACTGAGGTCAGAGTGAGGTCTGTTAGTTTCAGAAGTGGATCATCACCTGACGAAAGCTTGGAATGGTAGCATTTGTTGTTTCTCCGAGCTGACATGAGAGTGGTGGCAGCCTCGCAGGCTCAATCAAGCATGGGCAGAAGGAAAGACAAACAGTATGTTTCCTCCCAACTTGTCATCAACTGACGACCATTTTTACATTTCGAACTTATGACGCGACTGATTCATGCTGAAACGACAACAATGAATGGGCCATTTACAGGACCAAGCGGATTGGGCAGGGGGAAGTGATGAGTCTGGTGCTCAGGGAGGTGTGATGGGCCATCATTTACAGGACCAAGCGGATTGGGTAGTTCATAATCTGATCTTTAAGTTCCATGAGGTGTGATGGCTTCCCTGATTGTTCATGTTCAGCAGGAAAAAGAATGCATATTCATGATGTGATCCATATTATTTGGCTCAAATGTTATCAGCAGGCATGATGACAAAAAGATCATCTTTTGGGTGGGGGTGAATCCTCACTGACATCCAGTTCTTGAGTTAATAAGCCTAACATCAGTCAGTAGCCGACAGACCTTCGAGAGCCCGTCCCGTGCATAATAATTGTCAAAGGCTAAATTCCAGGTTATATGCCTTGTCAGCTACAAAATCTAGTCTTAAATTCCCCCCCTTAACAACAAACAGGGACAAATGCTGGATAACTTTTTCCCCAACATAGTCCTCTCTCTTTAGGAAGGTCGAATACAAATTCCAGGGCAGGGCAGGGCACAGATCTTTATAGTCCTCTGAGGACCACCCCCCCACCCCTTCCTTTTAGGTTGGTGGCAGATTTATTATGCAGGCACATGATCACACGTTATGAAATGAGAAAACATGGGATTTCATGAGCTTGTTTATTCCATCTATAAACTATATTTCCAGTCTCGAATCAGCCAGCAGCATGCGGTTCACTTGATCTTCTTATAAAGCAACTCGTACTGGAAATCCTTGTTTCGGATCCATCAGATTAAACAAAAAAGAGGAGTATCTGTGGTAGCGATTGCAGAAAACTAAAAATACGATTCAGAAGCCCGGCAATGTGCATCCATGCAAGCTTCTTCTTTTCAGAATAACCAATGCACGAGTACTTGTTGTTTGCGGTTCTTTCTCGGTGTGGTGAGAACCGATTCTTCTGCACGAGTGCTCGTGGCTCCATTTGGGAAGACGACACAGGCGTAGAGCATGCATGATGGAGAAGCAATAAAGATGGGTGAGCGCTGAACTCGCTTGTCTGTCTGTGAAACCAAACCAGCAAGATGAAACGAGCGAGCCACCCTTGCCTCCTCGTATGCGATCGATGGAGAGAAGGGAAAGCAATGCTTGTTCCCCCATGTAAAACAACTAGTCAACCATGGCACCGGGCTTTGCGTTTGGTGGCACAAGTTTAATCATCATCACGTCCTTCTCTAGTACATTTTTAGTCATCTGATTCATCGTGATTAGCATGCTTGTGGAGCGGGTGACCTGAGGTCACCTCCGTCGGTCTTCGTCTCCTCTCGAATCGTCCACTTTCGCCTAAACTAATCTTTGTTAGGACGATTTGTCTTTGATCCCTAAATCCAGGATTCTCTCTTCGGCTATATCATAGCTCCTCTTAATTAATCGTAGTGTGCGTGGACGTAAGATTTTGTTTTTCTGGGAGCGGAGTAAAAACAGAGTGCTATGTGCCCACCCACCAAAAACGTTTTAGATCGACTTTGATGAACAGAGTCAAACATTTCGGCTTAAGATTCAAGTGCAGTGGTCCAAATATGAACCTGGCGGAAATTGCAATCGGTGTTACCTTGTATTTAATTTCGCACCAGAAATCATGGTCCCCTTCATCCGCTAGATTTTGGTAGCATCTAATGCTTCTGTATAGAAAAGGTTGACTTGTTTCAGCCACAACAAGAGGATGAATCCTCCTTCCATTTTCTGATGAATCTCACAGACATTGTTGTTTCGAGTTCCTGTTGTCAACCTGTAAGTGCCAATGCTATTCGTCGCGTGTAATTATTATTGCTCTTCTTTCCATGGTTACAGATCCAACCTTTACCTTTCCTTCCTTTCCACCCAAGTTTCTCTCTCTCTCTCTTCCGCTTCTTGTCGATACTGTTGGAAGAAGAAACACACGCCAAGGAAATCTTCAGCGCAAAGAGAATATAAGCCTGTAGTTCAATCAACATTTGCTATATCTACTTTCATAGTCTGAACAAGTTGGCTTCCAGTTTCTGAGGACTTCCAGGTAAACAGCAGCTTCTCGGGGGATCAATCAAGTAGGACATGTTGGATATGGATGTCTCTCTCTCTCTCTCTCTCTCGCTCTCTATCTAAACCTTTTCCTGTTGGTCATTCTTATCCTTGTTCCTGACACCGCTTAAACCTGCCATGGTTTTTGCCAGTGCCCTTACAGCTCCATTAAAGGTCAAGGCGAGGCGATGGTGTCATCGAGGTCCACAACCTTAGGGTGCCTTTGTAGTACCCCCCGACACAGTCTCCTTTTCTCCAACTTTCTACGAGAACTGGTCAAATCATTCTCTGCCTCCACATGCAGGCCATGCTCACCTCCTCAGTTTTGATTGTGCAAGGACAAGGATGGGGCCGCTTCTTGAAAGATGTGTTCATGCATGAGGGTGGGTGGTGGGTTGCATTCATGCCCACCACTAGATCATCATTGCCCGTTCATGCCCTTTATCCATATCGAAGCTCGACCCTCCGAGCATCACGAGTATCCCTAAATTTAACCGCAGCAATTTTTACCTTGAGCAGCTCATGACGGATCAAATGGCCATCGCAAGAGATCAGATCTCCAATAGCTTTTTTACCTGTCACATGATATCAATCGATCAGTCTAGTATATGTTTCTCTCGGCCTATTCGTTTTGCACTCTGTAGACTGATGTTGTGCTGCATTTCTCACACTATTTACTTGCATACTACTGCTAGTAGTGCTCCTTTGTTTTTGTTTGTTTTGTCTTGCCTGTATGAGTACTATAATGAAGTCCACCACCGTCATCATCACTTTTGGAGGTAGGGATCCATTCATACAGTAATCTGATTTGTTCCGGTGGATACGCGTTGGATTGCGCACCGATAACCCATCTCGGATTTCAGTAAGCAGCGTTTGCAGGTAGGTAAATACGAAAGGGACAGCTCTTCCCCTCCGCATGGTTGGTCATCATCTGCAAGCAGATCACGTTGCCTATCGACACGATCTTCACACGAATGCTAAACCCTCTCCGAGCACCTTGCAACTCGGAGCAATAACAAGTGCAAAGAGACCATAAAAAGTGTGGATAAGGTGGGTCTAAATCCATTCAAGCGCAAAGCTACGAGTATAAATAGCAAGATGGCACATGCAGATAAGCTTCGAAATTTTCCACTGCTTTCTTTCAAGCTCGAGAAAACTTGTCGGAAGAAGAAAGTAAAAACCGCATGCCGATTCAATTGTTTAGTTCCAAGTCTTCGATGATGTTGAGGACCAATTAATTAAAGGCTGTCATGAAATCGAATAGCTGCAGCAGCTGATGCTGATGCTGACAATTACCAGATGATTAGGTATCTGCAATCAAACGTGCAGTTACTCCATGGTGGGCCGCTAGACCGAAGCAGGAAGTCGGCTGCTGCAGTAGATAGCGATGATGATTACGCTGTAAAATTAGCAGCAAGCATCGGTGCAGAGGAGGAGGAGGAGGAGGTCAGGGAATTCCAAAGAGAATCGACAGGCTTTGGATGGAGTTGATTTGAATCTGCCATTCGATCGGATACCGATGGAGGAGCAATTCAAGGCGGACGATCGATCGTAATAATCCTTCTAAATCGACATTTCGATTGGGACCAGAAGAGACTACCATCAAATGCATAGCGATTAGCATCAGTAGTGGTCTCCGAAAACAAGTTCCTAAATGTCCATTATCAGCCAGACAGACAGAGAACGTCGACAACACACGTAACATGAAACACTCCCATCCGCAAGTGCCAAAAAGAATTGAATCGGATACAGAATCGTCCACCTTAGAATATATTCAGTTAAGGACAGCAGGTCAAGGGAATCATACTCGATCAAGCACACGATAAGCTTGCCAAACATGCTGTTCTCGGTCACACACCTCAGTTCAAACTATATAATCTCGATGCCTGTTCTTCCTTGGACTCGTAAACCAAATCACATGTCCCAAAAAATAAACTGATGATAACAGGTGCCGTGCTTGTGCTCCTCTGTTTCTGTAAGTGGATATGGATTTGATCGAAGAAAAGACGGTCTTAATGTATCTCTCCATCATGGCAAATAGGTCCACGCAAGTGAGGGTTCGGCTTCGATACTGTTGGCCGAGATGCCATGGCTTCGTTGACGACTACATCAACTGTGGAAGTCGACAATCCGAGCAGAGACATGACAGCAACCTCTAAAATCTTTGGTGGAGTAGATCTAAGAGCCCACCTGCCAAATCCAAGTTGACGTTCCAAGTTAACTGCACCGATCGAAGCATTCAAGCACCCATCTTCGCTGCATGTGTCGAATCATTGCTTGCTGCCGATACATCTAAAAGCTTTTAAGCCTCGGTTTCTACATTAAGCGTTTGATGTTACAAGGCATTATTATGGTTTCTAAATCTGAAACTAATTGTTTCTGAGCTTAATCGACCTAACATTCTCATTTAACAGAACCGAGACAAGAAGAAGAAGAAGAAGACATGATGGATAACTCGAAAAGAAATAAATCTTCAAATACCTCCTACGAGTATTTGACTCAAAGTCATCGCGGTCAGCATGCAACAAGGACAGCTGACAGAGAGCGTATGAAAACTCGGTTTCATGCTCCAGTGATGACACACAAAGCGATGGGTCGGCAGGAGAAGAAGACCGGGCGGGCTGGTTGGCCATGGCTACTGATGTGCATGCATCATCGCCGAATCTGCCATCGCCCATGCGACGCACTGGGGATCTACCATGGGAGTGTCGATGGGAAGAAGACATGAGGCGGTTCTGTCGCAGCCAGGGCAGGGTTCAGGAACCTTTTACATCCGCTGATCCGAGTTCGTAAATGGGGCCCGCGGGACCCGCCGCTCGTTTTACCGAGTAAGATGTGGAGAACCGTGTCTTGGGATGTGCACCGCAGGATGAGGACAGGGAGGGACCTGAAACTTTTAGGTACTCGTAGTTGTACGTAGAGCGAGAGCCAACCAAATCGATTCGGTTTGTGGGGCCAGTCATTGGGAGGGTCACACATGAGGCGAAATGATAGTGGGAGAGGGTGGGTTGAGGTACGTGAAAGAGTGCCAGAATTATTTTCATTATTTGCCCAGAGATAATAGAAGATAATTATTATTGGTCCGCATGAGCCATCCCACCAATTGGCCATGGCCCCATGGGGAGGGCTCCACCGCTGCAAATTATATACGTATAATATACTTTTGTGTTTACCTTTCTTTATTTTTATTTTTGTTTGATTATTATATAATTATGTGTACGCAAGACGTTACGAGTATAGTACATCACTAATAAATTCTATTTTAGATATCTAGAATTTATCTCAAATACTCAACTGGATTCAGTAAATCATTAACAAAATAATAAATTATATCATGCATACAACATGTAAAAAGACATCACTAACTATTATATTATATTATATTATATTATTATTACATATAATAACATTCTTAAATAATATATAAATATAAATATATATATTTACATCCAAAGCATTTGAATGTCTTAAAGAATGATTCTTATTCCACTTTCCAATCAAATGAATTCATCATGTTCTTTTATTTTTAATATATGCACTCAACTACTATCTATGACTTCATGATCTCTCTCTCTCTCTCTCTTCCCCCTTCTCAGCAAGTGTATAAACACTGTGGCAGCACGAAATGGTGGAAATAGGAAGCAAGCGAGAAATCTAAAAGAAAGAAAAAAGATAAATAGTGACGGTTTTCTACAGATTGAATGCCACTGTAAATCATAGCACTAAGAGAGAGAGAGAGAGAGAGAGAGAGTAGTCTTCTCACTTCTCTTGGAGACCGACACGAAGCACCTCATCGAAGTCCCTATTTTTGGAGCCTCTCACCTCCCTGCTTCGATCCAAGCGAGCAGCGATATCTGTCCACGAACCGCGATAATCCTCTGCGTGATTCCAATCTCCGTCCCGTAATGCTTCGCGGTCGAGATCTCCGGTGCATGGTGTTCCAGGTGGAACCCTCGCGGCTGAGGAGCACGGGCTAGGGTTTCCGAACCCCTTTGTTCGAGTTCTTGGAGACCGAGCTGCGTCTCGTTGTCTGAGGCCGAGATAGGGTTTGGGGTAGAGGGTGTTTGCGGAAAGGCGGCTCCTTTTGGTGCTTGGTTCTTACGGGCCGCGAAGGGGAAGCTCTGAGTGGAGATCCGCAGGGTTTTCCGGTTGCCGTCGGGGTTTTCTTCTCCAATGCGTGGGTTATAGTGATTTCGGTTGTTCTTTTAGGAATTTTTTTTTTCTTCAAGTTTGTACCTCGTCGAAGCTTGGGATTGAGCGAGGCTTTTGGGGTTTTGCAGAAAGATTTCATCTTTTTATGGGGTTTCAGCTCGGTGGGTTTGGTTGAGATAGCTGGTTTACATTTTTTTTTTCTTTCCCTCCCTTTTCAAGTCTGTCGGCCTTTGCACTTTTAGTTTGAGCATCAGGGGAAGGAGCTATGAAGTGGTTGAGGTGAAGGTTGGAGTAGATGTTTTCGTTACGAGTTGAATAAGCTTGAGGTACCGCGGAACTTCCGGAATCTGTGATTTTGGCTCTACTTTCAGATACGATTTCTTGGTGTTCAAGTCCAAAAATCATCTTTTGATGTCAAAGATTGCGGCCTCTAACCCTGGCGCCTGCAAATCGAGGCATCACGACCGATTAAACTGGGAGTGGCTCTTCCTTGCAAAGGAATCGGCTTAGGTGATGATGGTCTCCGCTTATAGTTGAGGATTTGTGCCCAAATGGAGTAGTCAAAACCAAATCGTTCTTTTACATTTTCTCAGTTGGTAGCTTTTATAGATTGCAGAGAAAAATAGTGAGGCATGAGTTCTAGTGGAAACAGGCGAGGCACAACCAACTCTGCGGGGAAAAAATAAAAAGGATTTGAGTTTTGCTGTTTAAAGTGCCCGTGCTTAAAGATTTCAGTTGTTTGCTGACGGAAAGGAGCAACTGTGATAGTAAGCTTCTGCTTCCTACTGCAATAATCTTCTTCTCAACTGCCAAACAATGAGGCTAACATCTCCAACTCTCACCACTCAGCCACAAGAAGGTAGCTATTTATCCTCTTCTCTGGTGATTAGCATGAAAATTTGTGTTTTTGGTGATAATTCTTTTGTTCCGTGTGCTTCCTGTGGTTCAATGATTCGTGCCCTTATATATGTGTGATTGTTCTGGATTTGGTTATGAAAATTTTCAGATTGTTTGCAATTCTGTCTCGAACTGATTCTTTGGCCAACAATTTGTCCCTGGAAATTGGCATGCTTTTCATTTTCAAACATTTTTCCTTCTGGGTATCCTTTTTTTTTTTTTTTTCTGTTATGTGTTCCCTAGGTGCAAGAACAGATGGTGCATCATTGTGCAAGTTATGCATTGCTCTATAAGCTTCATTGCAGGATTCATAGTTTTATCTTAGTTTGGAATCTGCACTCACCTGATAGCTGTTGGATAAAGAGGCAGATATTTAAACATTTATGAGTCTTAAAAATACCTTTGATCAGGGCAGACCGCCTGATCAATTAGTTTGTGAGCAGTGCTGTTTCTCCTTGCACAAGCAATTATAGAGTTTAGACAATTTGATTGCTGAAGGATACATATTTTTAAAAACAATTTCTCCCTTCTACAAGTTATTTGTTTCTCTGATGCTTAATTTTACATTTTATCTCCTACATGCCATTTAAAAAAAAAATGGTTTTCTACGCAATGCAACTTTTGAAAATGGCAGGTTTCAGTATTTGTTTCGTTCTCAATTAACTAAAGTCACCTACTGGTGACAACTAGGCTGAAAAAAATCTAAACAGCATTAGCTATACTACATGTTGTTTAATCTCTAAAATTCTAGTTTTAGATGATGTTGCAATGCTTTACAACTGGCCTTCCTTCTTGACATGATAGTCCAGATTTCTTTATACATCCAGGGTATCCTTTTTGTGATAGCCAATGTCTTAGAAAAAAGGCTGTGTTGGTGAGTAAATATGCTGTAAACATAACCAGGTATTTCTCCATTTAACAAGTGCTAAGTTTGTATAATTATGGAGGTCAGCATTTGCCATAGAAGGTCTTGCATGTTTTCTAGTTTTAGATTTAAATTGGCATCATCTGATGGGTTTGTTTACATAGCTTGTGAGCATGTTTGTCAGCAGATTCAAACTTGCTCTTTTACTCAAACAATAGTGTGTATTTGTTTTCTGAAGAAGCAGCCAGGAAGTTATCCTTATTGTTATTGTTATTAACTTATTATTAGTGCTATTTGTTTATAAGCTTGTCATTAGCTTATGTTGATTCTGATTCTTGCTGTTTTCGTGCCCTCGTATACAGAGGAACCACGGTGTCTTAACTCAGAGTTATGGCATGCATGTGCTGGACCTCTGGTGTCATTACCTGCTGTTGGAAGTCGGGTAGTATATTTTCCGCAGGGTCATAGTGAACAGGTCAGTCGTTTTAGCCTACTCTAAGTCACCATTCATGCAATTAAACAATGCAAGTATCTCCAGTATTTTTGACCTTGCCTTCTTATCTTTTAGTTGAATCCTTAGTCATGAAGCCCTAGCAACCTGTTATATGTTCTTTAACAATTTCAGCTGTCACAGGTGGCTGCATCAACCAACAAGGAAGTTGATTCTCAAATACCAAACTACCCAAGCTTGCCTCCTCAGCTGATCTGTCAGCTGCATAATGTTACTATGCATGTAAGTGTATCTTCAGTACTATCAAACTGTACATGCTTGATTTGCCGTCAACCATATGATGCGTTACATAAGCTATTAAAATTCATTTGTACATCTTCTTCAGGCTGATGTGGAGACCGACGAAGTTTATGCTCAGATGACCTTGCAACCATTGAGTGCTGTAATGAACTGTATCATTGTGCTTCTGCCTTATTTTAAACACACTTGTAATGTATTTTTCATTCGTTTGTTTCTTTTGGATCTAACATACAGCAAGAGCAAAAAGATCCCTATCTCCCTGCTGATTTGGGTACCCCCAGCAAACAACCAACGAATTACTTCTGTAAGACATTGACCGCAAGTGACACCAGTACACACGGTGGATTTTCAGTTCCCCGTCGAGCAGCAGAAAAAGTTTTCCCTCCATTGGTAGGTATTTTGCGTATTGTGTTAACTGGATCATAGTTATTCTAGGATTTCTACAGTCTCTGACAATCTTATCTTATTCACATTGGGGTTTTCTTTTAGGATTTTTCACAGCAGCCTCCTGCACAGGAGTTGGTTGCAAGAGACCTTCATGGCAATGAGTGGAAGTTCCGCCACATTTTTCGTGGTGAGTATTTGTTCAGTCATCTTTTATTAGCAGTATATCTAACTGTATTGTACATGAGTTTTTCATGTGTGTGTGTTTTGTATCGTGTCATGAGATGATGGAAGTTGCTATGGTATATTCCTTAACCAGTTTAAAGATAAAATTCTCATTTTATATTCCCTGAGCATTGCTTGATGTTTCATGGTTTGGTCTTTAACTGTCATGGAATTATATCTTCTATTCTTGTGTGCTTATGATTTGAAGCAATAGCTTGCAAGTTAATTTTACTCGTTGACTGTAGTTTTATTTATCATATATTGACTGATATTTCCTAGAGTTTGTCGTTGTTGTGTTTTTTGTTCTTGATTGTCAAGCTTGTTTCAATTGACAGCCAGAGCTAAGATGCTTATTTCATTGGTTGCTAGTTTCTGCAGCATTTCATTCTAATTAATGACTGTATGACTGTACATGATATAGGTCAGCCAAAGAGGCATCTGCTTACTACAGGATGGAGTGTTTTTGTGAGTGCAAAGAGACTCGTTGCAGGGGATTCTGTTCTTTTTATCTGGTATCATCATCAAGCTTGTTTCATGTGCTACTTTTGAGCACTTCTGTATTCTTGTTACCAATAAACTTTTTCTTCCTCAGGAATGAGAACAATCAGTTGCTATTGGGTATTCGGCGTGCCAATCGACCTCAAACAGTTATGCCTTCTTCTGTATTGTCTAGTGATAGCATGCACATAGGCCTTCTTGCTGCAGCTGCTCATGCTGCTGCTACAAACAGCCGATTCACGATATTCTATAACCCAAGGTGAATGCCATGCATTCTGAAATATGCCTACTTTTATGTTTTCCAACTAACATTTACCACTGATATTTGCTTTCAGGGCAAGCCCTTCTGAATTTGTAATCTCACTAACGAAGTATGTTAAAGCAGTCTATCACACCCGTGTTTCTGTGGGTATGCGTTTCCGGATGCTGTTTGAAACCGAAGAATCAAGCGTTAGACGGTGAGTAACTCTTCATTCCCCTATCTTATTTATAGAGGTTCTTCAGTAGTTGATTGCTTGCATAAAATTTAACTTTGTTCAACTTCTTTTTGCATTCTATAAATTTAATGTTATGATGATTTTTCTTTGATTTCAGATACATGGGTACGATTACTGGGATCAGTGATCTTGACCCTGTCCGATGGCCAAATTCACATTGGCGTTCTGTAAAGGTAGGTATGGGTAAATAGCCATCTTTATGGATTTCTTTCTTCAAAGAACCAGTATGTTTAAGACTAATATTTGGCAGTCTTATTATTTCTGCAAAAGTGATTGATGGGGATGCATATATTTTTAATTCGTCACTATAATTTTAATTTTGGTATTACTTGTGCAGGTTGGCTGGGATGAGTCAACGGCAGGAGAGAAGCAGCCTAGGGTATCACTTTGGGAAATTGAACCTCTAACGACTTTTCCCATGTATCCGTCTTCCTTTCCTCTCCGGTTTAAGCGCCCATGGCCCACCGGATTGCCCTTCTTCCATGGTATGATTTATTAGTGCTACTTGAACAATCAGAATGTTTATTACCAGCAACAGCAATTGTTAGAAAACCTGATGATTAATATTTTTGAGTTGTTCCATCATTCATCTTTCTGTACTTTACAATTTATGTAGGTGGAAGAGATGATGAGTTCAGTCTAAATTCACCACTGATGTGGCTTAGAGATGGTGGAAATCCAGCACTTCAGTCATTGAATTTCCAGGGTGTTGGTGTGACACCTTGGATGCAGCCAAGACTTGGTACTTCTATGCTTGCTCTACAACCTGACATGCATCAGACAGTGGCTGCAGTAGCCCTTCAGGAAATGCAGACCATGGATCTTACTAAACAGGTAACCCCTGCAATGCTTCAATTTCAGCAACCTCAGAACACAACCAGCAGATCCGCACCCATACTGCAGAGTCAGATCTTACAGCATGCACAGCCTCAATCTCACCAGCCCCTCCTTCACACTATTCAAGGAAATCAGATGCAAAGCCAGGCTCAGTCTCAGTTTCTTCAGCATCATTTGCAACAGGGGCATTCGTTTGCTGAACAACAACAGCAGCAGCAGCATAATCTGCAGCTACAGATACCAGAGCATCAACAATTTCAGCAGCAAAGAGTTTTGCCTGCTTATCAGCAAGTTCCTTATGGTGCAGCCAATCTGTCTCAGCTTAGCTCTAGTTCTCAATCCCAATCAACCACTTTGAACATGATATCTCCATCCTCACAGTTGAAGGACTTTCCAGATTCTAATGGTAACTCTGTTTCGGCATCTAGTGTCTCCCCCCTTGATAACATTTTACATCAAATTTCTCCAGAAGAAACATCACAACTTCTTAGTTTGCCAAGATATGCCCAACCAGTTACTTCGAATCCCTGGTCGTCGAAGCGAATTGCAGTTGAATCAATGCTTCCTTCGGGAGCTCAAAGTGTACTCTCACAGGTGGAACAAATAGGTTCTGGACAGCCTAATATCCCCTTACAATCTGTAGTGCTACCACCATTTCCGGGAAGAGAGTGCTCAGTGAATCAAGATGGCAGTATGGATATCCAAAACCAGCACATGTTTGGTGTCAATATTGACTCATCGATTTCAGTACAGAATGGCATCCGAAGTCTTGGTACTGGTGTCAATGGAACTAATTCAACAAACATAGTGTATGCTGCATGCAATTTATTGAGGTCTGCTGGAAATGATTTTCCTATCAATCAAGCAGTAAATGGGTCGAATGGTCTGCATGAATCAGGACTTTTGCAGTCTACTGAGAATGTTGATCAAGTGAACTCACAGAGTGGAACATTTGTTAAGGTGGAGCTTATTTATTTATTTATTTATAATTTATCTTGTGATTATCTTATCTGGATTTTGTTTCAGGGTGCAATCAGTTAGAACTGTTTTGTAGGACCGAGTATAGGTTTTTGCATACCGAGTGTAGCACACATGTTACTCAGCTAATACTTGTCTGTTCTCATCGGTCACAGGTTTATAAATCAGGTTCATTTGGGAGGTCACTGGACATCACGAGGTTTAGCAGCTACCACGAGTTGCGAAGTGAGCTTGGGCACCTGTTTGGCCTGGAAGGCCAATTGGAGGACCCTTTGAGATCAGGCTGGCAGCTTGTATTCGTCGACCGGGAGGATGATGTTCTTCTTGTCGGCGATGATCCATGGCAGTAAGTTCTTTCTGTAATGCCATACACACACGGATGATACTTTCTCAAGTAGCTCTTAGTCTGCTTTGCCTTTTGCAATGGAACACTGCTTTGCCTCTATAGTGTATCCATATCTATTTGCATTAGCTGCTGAGTTTTAGAAATTTTATGATGAATTTGGCTTGCACTGCAAAGTTTTAAGATCATTGTTTGGTTTGTCATTTTAATTAATGCTTTATGCTTGTTCTAGGGAGTTTGTCAACAGTGTATCGTGCATAAAGATACTTTCGCCCGAAGAAGTGCAACAGATGGGCAAACAAGGTGTAGATTTTGTGAATTCAGCCCCCATCAAAAGGCTTCAAAGTAATGGGTGTGATGACTATGTAAGTCAGCAGCATTCAAGAAATCTCAGTGCCGCCAGGATCACATCGGTCGGGTCTTTCAAATACTGAAGTGGCAACCTTTCTCTTTTTCCCTGCTCCATGTTTTGCTGCACTTGAAGTATGACTACTTGAGCCGTGTTATGTCTAATAACTGTACCATATTGTATGTGCTTGTAACCTGGATACACATCCAATGCTTAATTTGTGAAGACTGGTTATGTTAATGTAGGCTGTTTTATTGTTCTATTTTTGACACACACACACACACATATGTTTATATATATATATATTACATCGGAGCACTGTGACAAAACAGCATGATTCCTTTGGCGCCAGGTAACAGTAGATCTTCTACTTCCTTTTTTTGTTTTTGTTTTTTTCCCACTGAGATATGTCTGCCCTGTTTTTGTTGCAGATTTCAAAACTAGATTCAAGTAAGAGATGGGTCTTTGGAGCAGAGAATTGGTGTCAGATCCTGCCACGGCTGCAGACTGTGCCATTCCGCCATGGACCACAACCAGGAAAGCTCCTCCCAGAGACCCAAGTAAGTTGGTCCCTGTCCAAGCGTGAATTCCACTCATTGTGACATCCACTTTTTCTCTCTCTCTTTCTCCTTGTTACCAAATTGATCTACCAATATTATTTATATTTTGTTTACACACTGACATCTCTGTCATTGTCCTTTTCCTTGAAGATCATGCCATCTTTTGGTGTTGATCTGGTTGCCTCGCTGCTTGGCTGATCTCGAGTGTTTTGGTTGGCTGAGGTGACGCATTGCCACTGGACTTAAAAAAGTGGGAGGGAGCATGTGGCCTCCATTAACTCCCACTCGCTAAAGATGTGGACATCTTTCTTTCCTCTTGGCATCTTCTTTCCTCCGTCACCATACATGGTCATTCTCCCGTCCCTTTCCGATCTGTGTGTGTTGGTCCCATTGCCCTCACATCTGCTCTTGTTTCTTTCTTTTTGACCACTTTTTGTTGGCAAAAACAAAAGGGTTCCTTTCCGGTTTCAACTCAGGTGACAGTAATAATTACTTGCTAAAGCTTGTTCTTCACCCAACCCAACAGTCGATGGTAGCTTCGTGCCTCCTCCACCCCTCCTTACCTTGTTAAAGCACACTACTGCTCCTTGGAACTGTTTTCTCATCTCTGGATCTTCTCTAATGATTTATATGATCTCAAAGAATATTGTATAGAAGCTGAGGAGAGAGAGAGCAGTCTATGGAAGATTTTAATTCGTTGGGGGTTTCGTAATAACGTTCGTTGATTGGCCTGTCTTAAGATCCACATGTCGATGAGTTTGGATTGACGGAGACTATGAATCATGTCAACTTCGAAGTGCATTATCGACTCATCTGCTCATGTTAATCTAACTCTACAGGACATAAATGATGTGCTCTTCATTTACATAAAGATTACCCACACTGGGAAACAATACAAGACTTTCTCTAATATTCTTTACTCCTTTGGATTTATAGGCTATACAACTTCATATCATGTTGGCTTGTCGGGTCCATCGTAGCTCCGGTTGTTTAGGTGAGGGTGAGAGACCGAGAGAGAGAGAGAGAGATGGCAGTCTTGCTTTGATGCCTAACCTTCACTATCTGCAAATAATAAAGCCATGGCAGGTGGGGAGAGTGACACTGATACTTTCTTTCGCTGTGCAACTAAAGGAGTCATCTCTTGTGTTGATGATATGAAAGCTTATAAAGACATCTAATTCAGAGCATAAAATAAATGTAACTTAAGCTTGCTTCAGAAAGCAACCACTGACATGAGACACTGCACCCTGAACGATCAGCATGATGTCGGCTATCTCAGCTTTTAGAGTTCGATGCTTCTGTTGTTTTATGTAAGAGAGAGAGAGAGAGAGAGAGAGAGAGAGAGTTGCAAGTTGTAGACAACAAACTTAGAAAAGCTAAATAATATGACCAGATTTGCATCATTCATCACTCCCATAATGCCTTGCCAAAGACTACCTGATATTTGTCCAAGAATTTATTGGTAAAACTATCTGGAATGATCACAAAACCAAGACTTCTGTTTACAGTATTTATTGTAGTGATCAGTTCATTGGTGTACAGGTGAAACACCATCGGAAAAACTTGTTACATCTTCCACCGAACCAGTAATGCTCTCGAACGCCTGCACGCATACGCTCGAAAACCCCATGAGAGCCTGGAATACATTCGGGAGGCTTGTCTGCAGATTGTTCACGATCATGGCTCGGCTCGTGTGAACAGAATTTAGATACTTGATCCTTTCTTCCTCCACCCTCTTCTTGAAAGCTTCCAGTTTTGCATGCTTTGTTGACGATGGTGGGTGATTCACATGAGGTACTTCGACCAAGTTCTCTATACTCCGAAGCGAGTTTAACTCTTTCTCCAACCTTCTCTGAAGTCGATCGGATTTCTTCTGCAGGCTGTGCTCTTCGGTATGTTGCAGAACGATAGAGCGGATAACCAATAGAAAGTTCTTGATTGCCTCAGCTGCTACCTGTTAAGCTACAGAAAGTAAGAAAAAATGGCAAGTACATTGTCCTAGCAGATGGATGTATTTAACAGATTGAAGACATTTTAAACTATGAAATTTCAGATTCCAATTTCATTCCTCTCCACTAAGTTGGTTTAACAGATCGAAGACAAGCTTTAAACAGAAAAATGTTGCACCCCAATACAACCTCTTCTTCTTTCCACTAAGTTTTCATTTATTTATGAAGTCCAACAAAAGAATACTACAAGCCATAATGTCCTAACCAGGCCATAAAAAATGTAACTAGCAAATTCCTAGTAAAAAACCTCATCAATCTTTACCAGAATCTTATTAGCTCTATTTGATTATTTTCAATTTGATAAATATCTTCCATAATTCAAGTTCTAATCAATAAGAAGTTAGATAGTTAGTAAATGCTTGTTGCTAGTGCAGTTGTACCCAACAATGCAGCCTTTTTTTTTTCTTTTGTTTGCACACATCCAGTGAAAGTGCATATATAAGTGTGTATTCATGGATATACTGCATGCAATATGCAAGCTTTTGCCTCATTAGATTAGACTCCCGCAACTCTGCACTTGTGAACAGGTAAATTAAAGAATAGATCAGATATGCATCCAAGCAGTTTATTAGGAAACAATTCATTTATTTATTAATAATTGAAAATCATGTCGTCATTATGTTTCAAAAATTAGAACTCATTTATGCAAACATAAATATGCTGAACAAAGAACTTGGGTGGACAAGTGGATGTGTAGCGCAGCATAGCATGTCCCACAATTTTATAGAGATTGACCATTAGCACATTTTGAAGGGAATAGGGCAAGTAATAGTACCTTGTCTGGTAGCCCATCAAGAACTCCCTGTAATTCTTCACAAAAACCACGGATACTAGATGTTGAACCCATAAAGGCATTATTTTCCGGAAGTCTGTCAGTCAGTCTAACCCACTGGTTGAGAATGCGAACGTACTCACGCTGACAGCGGAAGAGGTCGCAGAACGAACTATACCAAGAAGTCACCTCTGCTTCTAGCTGAGATATGGCATGACGATGCGAATCAGTGGTTGGATCATTGCCCAAATGACTGTCAAGAAGATTTGCTTGTTGAGAAACATGGTTTTGCACTTGATGACATTCATACATTGTTCTCCACATCTTCTCAAGCCTTTCAAAAAGACAAAATCAACCAAAGATCACCTGACTGGATATCAAGCAAACTAGATAGTACTTATTCGCATAGAGAAGAGTAAGACAATCACTAGTACTTTTTAGCCCAAAAGTGCTATTGAAAGCTATTACTTATTCTCTTTCATAATGGTTTTCATTTACGATAAGCTTAAACATCCAAAATTCATACTAAACGATAAAAAAAAGGCACAGTCGCAACTTACCCTACAGAGAATTCAATCAACTGTGGAAATAACTCTTCATCCCTAAGTTTTAATATGGACAAACATGTTCCACTTATTGCCTCCTTCAGAGAAACCATTTGGCACTGCAAATCCTCAATGTCCGAACGAGCTTTCTCAGTTTTTGTCCAGTCATAATCTCCAGCTTCTAGTTTATGCAGTAGTAGGATTATCTTCTTGTGCTGGGAGTTAGCACTTTCCTCATCCTGACATAGAAAAGCCACTAGATGAAAAGGTAGGAACACCAGGTACTGGTTCGATAATAAGGAGAAAAGCAACTTTGCCAAAAGAACAACTATCCTTTGATAAGGAGACACATATACACGGTGCTTTTCTCAGTCTCGATTAAGATCTATGCTATCTTAAGTGATAAACATGTTTGAAGCCCATTTCAATATACTAGGATATCTAAATATGTTGAACATAACAATATAATTTCAATTATAGTTTGATTATTTAAGGGCTCCTGGTTGAGGCTTCAGCGACGATGTCCTTGATTTATAGAACAGGACCATTGGCATTTGAGGTTCATGATGACATAGGGACAGCAACTTCAAAAAAGATAATGCCAAGGCACTGAGGAGAAGATAATAAGTCAATCAAAAAGACAGCACATATTTTAGGTATACAGAACTTAATTAAAATGAAATATCAAATAGTTTTGGAGGTCAAGGAGAAAGGCTCGACAACAAGTTTCACTGCATCCCATTCTTGGGGACTTCATCTTGTATATCTACTTTACAAAATTTATTTTGTGGGATTTCTAAAACTCAAGGGTTTCAAGAATTGCATTATAAACAGATTTACCTAATCATAGTGTCTTCTATTTCTGTTTCTGAAACTGTTATGAAAAAAACTTAGTCATATGTTTCAAATGCATGCCTAAACTGGCTAAGGGATGATTGCTTGTTGGAGAGAGAGCTCAAAAGATATTAAATATCAGTCTGATGCTAATTTCTATAATCTACCAAACCACTACAGCACCAAGACACCAAACCGTACACTAACTTGTAGGTGATGTACGGCTTGGTATCACTAAATAAAATAATACAAAAAAATAAACCGAGGTGGTAATTGTGTCGTGGTCCAACAGAATCTGGTGAGCCACAAAAGGGAATCTTTGGTTTAAGACAATTATTATGGACCTGTTATAGGATTTAACATAAAATTTATATTTGATAAATGGGTTTAAGACAATTATCATGAATATACAGTATCTGATAAATGAATTCATGAAATTCTCTTAAAATTTCAAATATGTTTTACCTTTATGTTGGACCATGACAACGAAATCAAAATTTTCAAGTGTTGATAAAGAAACGTTAGCTATCCTGCAGAATGCCAATTTGCAGGTGATTATGGGCATTCAAAATGTGAAAAATATTTTTTATAGCATGAGCCATAGGTAGACTGATAAGAAAATTAGATGTGATATTTACGTACTTGTTTTTCCTTTGCATGTTGCCATACATCTTTCGAGTTCAAAATTTTAAAAGGCAACACCAAAATGTAGTTTTGTGTGAAAACAAAATATGTCCGACAAAGAACTGCAGATTCTGCACCATCTGTCTTTTCATCTTCAATATTCCACACATCAAACAGAGTTGACCATGTTGTGACCATTAATTTTGTGTTTAGCATACAAGTAATTTCATCCTTAAAACATCTCTATCCGATGCACTCGAATTATATGTTTTTCCACCAACCAACTTTACAGAAAAGAAGAGAACATTCCTGGTTCTTTCACTCATGATAAACAGAGATAAATTTGTGTTTATGATTATTAAATAGGACAAATAATCAACGGGATATGCGCCTTGGCTACATGAATGCTTATGGACTAATAATTCAAGTTGTGGAAAGTAATACAGACAAGAAAAGATGAATTTCAACCTAAAAGACAGATAATATTCTTGCATTTAGTTTACCTACAGAGTATAAAAACTGTAAAATACTATTCATTTAGAAATCTGATTTTAGCTAATCTGCATGGCATGCTTACCTTCACTAGCTTGTAGAGCTTCTGCTCCTCTGCAAAAAGCTTCTCGAGGGTTGTGCAATGGTTACTGGGCCTACTAGCACTATTTTCATCTTGAGCATCTCTGTTAGAATGAGTTGATTTGAAAGACCAGTTCCAAGACAACACGTTTACGACTTTGGCGGACGTGGAACTTCTCCCTGAAAAAAGAGCTAAATTATGCCATCACACTAAATAGTTCTGAAACAAGATAGCTATGAATAGAGCGATTGTCTTGATCAATTTCAGAAATAGTATTCAGAAGTTTCTCCTTTCTCCATGCTTATAGCTCGCTTCCGTAGACCAATACAATTAGACTGCCAAGAGAACTTTTAGATAGTTGTCCAGGTGATGAATTTATAAAACTTACTGACCGTGGTCAATGAAGCAACCTAGAGACTAAACAAAAACATCTATGTAAATATCAACATATATCAGCAGGAAAAGTGAAGCCAGACTGGTTCAGCATTGTATATTGCTAAAGAAGGCATGGTGAAAAATGGGATTAGAATACAAGTAGATCTAGAATAATTGTTACTGCACTTTTTGGAGAACTGCGTGCAGCACTCTCTGATGTTGAGATAATGCAACTTTTGTTTGATTATCACAAGCAAATGGGACAACATGAAATAAGAATATAGGAGAGGAGCATTATGCTTCCAAAACTACAGCAGGAACTGTTCACATATATGATCTCCCCATATCTAGCAATTATTTTGGTGGTTGTCAAAAAACGCCTTGCAATTCATTTTCTTGATATGAGGCCAGTGATTGGGTGTGCACAAGTATTATGAAGTAGTGTGTTACAAACCAGCAGAAATTCACATAAATGTTCTGGTTGATCACACATCTATAACTTACCAAGACATAAAACACTAAATATTATTCTAATTTACCCTAAAATCGTTCTTGAAAATTCATAATTCAGGTTCTCAATGACTAAAACCCTTTGGTAAACAGACAATATCAATTTTTTCGACATCCAACATTGGACATTTGTAGAGATCAACGATCAACATAAGTGGCAAAGATAACTTAATAATACCAAAATGCATCCTAAAAGAACTCACTACTTCCAACTCTAAAATCGGCGAAAATATTTACAGTGTTTCAGAAACCGAAACAGACCAGTTGCAGGTTCAGAGTAAAGAAACAACTTTTTGGTTTCTCTTAAACATATTCATTCATGAATGTTGACTTCATAAGATCAAACAACACCCATCATGTCAAAGATTACCTTCCCTTGCTTGAAGGTCCCAAGGATGACAATAGGTCCGATTGGACTCGAGAAGGACTGCAAGATCCTTCCCTCCAGCTGCAGCTTTCAGGAAATAATCATCTAGCTCCTTTATAATCCCCTCCAGTGTCTTCTTGCTCCTCCACACCACCATCCCTATGTCTGTATCTTTGGTGAACCAACTCGCTGCCGACAAGCTATCATCAGCCAATTCCTTTGCCGGGCATTTCTCCCTCGCCCGATTCAATGCCACAGCAAAAGCCTCCTTTCTTTGGACCGCTTTGTCATCTTCGTCCTCCACGACCACCTCTTCCTCCTCTTCCCCCTCCGCAAACTCCGTTTTAGTCTCCGCCCAATCCTCTTCTTCCGCCGCAGCATGTGTAACATCTCCTCCATCGGGTACCGGAGATGAGGAACCCGACGAAGCTGGAGGGCCAGAAGGATCCCAACAGTCCCAGACCGAGCTGGGGAGGGGAGGTGGAGGCATCGGGCAGCTCTCGTCATCATCCATATCGCTTGAATCCTCATCGGACAACTTCTCCCTCGTTACCTCCTTCGCGGCACGGAGACTAAATTCGGGAGGGGGCGGAGGCGAAGGCGGAAGAGTCGGCGGCGGGGGCGGGGAGGGTGGCAATGCGAGTCCAATAGGCGGAGTACCGCCCGGGATCATCGTCTCCACTTCAGTGAACTGTCTAAGGGTGGCGCCCGTGTTCCGCAACGACTGCAGGTACGCCATGTGGGCGGCGGCGAGCTCGGCCCTGCAGCTCAGCAGCTGCTTCATGAGCCGCCGGCGCTCCTTGCACTGCCACACCACCTCGTCCACATCTACCCTCGAGTAGGTGCACCCCATTCCGCCTCTCAAACAAGGGAAGAAGGAAAAAAAAAAGTCTAATCTTGATCCCGAATTCTCGATCTAAATCATCGAAAAAAGATTCAAATCGCAGAAAAATAGAAACTTTGTAGGCAAATTAGGTGGAGAACGACCGCTTCTTCCCAACTAAGCCACAAAAAACAAACCTAGCTGCTATTTCTTTGAGAGAAAAGGAAAAGACAAGACTTTCGTAGAGGGAAGAAAGCTTTAGCTTGAAAGCTAAGCAGAGGCCAAAACCAGTAGAGAGAGAGACTGAGAGAGCCAAAAAGGTGGGTTTTTTATGAATTCCAAGATGGCATCTTTTCAATAGAAAAGAAGCAATAGAGGGAAGAGAACAGAGCAGAGAAGCTTCACCAAAGTGGAATTTTGTACAGATAAATAAAAATAGTCATCTCTGCTACATAGGCGGAGGTGGAAGAGAGAAGAAAGGAGGAGAAGAATTGAGGCGCAGAACCGTTGTTTTCCTGTCACCTGCAAGTCTTGGTCTCGCTTCTCTTATCTGTGTAGGTGAGAGAGAGAGAGAGAGAGAGAGAGAGAGGA